GGGGCGAGGAAGGAGAGGGGAGGGGGCAGGGGCGGGAGGAAGGAGGGGCGGGGGCGGGAGGAAGGAGGAGGGGCCGGGGGCGAGAGGCAGGAGGCCCGGTGTGGGACAGAGGCCCTTGGTATCTCTCTGCGGACCTCCTTTCCTACAGCTGCGTGAGAACTGTGAATGACGCCCGAGTACTGAGCGCTCTGAAAGAAGAGGCATCTGTGGAGGTGGTCCTAAGGTAACGTGCAACCAAGCGGAGCTATACAAAGCTTTTAGTTTCTTCTCAAGAAGAATTTTACTAAAAGATTTTTTCCGAGAAGTTATTTTAAAATGTAACTAGGTTAAAATTCTGCATAAATTTTATTTATTTTTTATGTATTTGGTACAGGGTCTCACTACACAGCTTGGACTTGTAGTGATCCACCTGTTTTCAGCCTCCCCAGCGCTGGGATTACAGGCATGTGGTGCTGGGGATGGAACCCCAGTCCCTGTGCTTGCCTAAGCAGGCGCTTAGTCTACTGAGCTATCTCACCCGCCCTTTAAAATTCTTCATAAATTTTAAATTATGCATGTCCTATGCTGGAAAGGTGCCCAGACTACCAGCTCTGCGTGGTGTGGCCGGCGTTCCTGTGGGTGGCACCTCCACAAAGGCCTGCCACAGGCTGACCCTTACACTTGGGGGCAGACCCGGATGCCAGGCGCGACAGTCCGCAGTGGAGGAGACCTCCACTAGGCCATTATTTGCAACCTATTCCTCCACAAGTATTATTTTATTAAGTGGAATTTGTTAAGTCTATCCAATGGGCTGCATAGCAACTGTGAAACCAAAAGACAAAGCTGGCAAAAAGAGAAAAAAATGCGACTGGGTGTCTCACACTGTATAAATCTGATCCTTGAAAACTGGCTGGCGGCATACCAGTATTCTCAGTCACTTGATATGCAACAATATTAAAATGCTACTAAGAATAAGCAGACCTATTTAATTGCCGTTTTTCTGGTCTCTGCCCTGCTCACCCCCTTCCCTGCTATACTTCCAATAAACTTTAAAATAGCACTTTTATAAACTTTCGCAATGTTTTGCTTATTGTAGTAATGTTAGCATGTACAATAGGTAATTGAAAACGAATGCTTTTAAATATAATCAATTTGCCTTTCTGTGTAAGAAAATTGGGAAGCAAAGAGTTGCTAACAAACTTTGAGACTGCTAAAGCTTATTAACTGACTGGCAGGACCGTGCCCACCTGCTCTGGGGCCGACGCCTCACAAGATTCACTTGAAGGACATATTCGCTTCCAGCCACAGCAAAGAACTAGCATCATGGAGGGAGTTGGGTTTGTATTATAAAAATATCAAAGCACACTGATGGGGCATTTTCTTCTTTGGGATTTTGCTAGTACGAAGTGATTTCTGCTCATCAAAAGGTAAAGCTGGTGGTGGCCATTGCCCCTGTCTGCATCTGAAATTGGTTTAACTTGAGAACTGATATTTATTAAGAAAAAAATGAAATTCTACCTGTATTTCTTTCATACTCTGGAATACGATTTCTCAAATCAAAGGCTTATGCATGTTACATCTCTCTTTTCCAGATAAAATTAATTATTGAACCATAATAACATACGCTAGACACATACTTTGGAGTTCAGCTTTGAGCTAGTAGAACAACTCTTAAGAGAAAATGTTGAATTGCAGTTGTACTAATCCAGGAGCCCGATGTTCAAATACTGCTGACTCTGAGTGGTTTAGAATAAAGGAATTACCTCCTAATGTTCACGGATAACCAACACTTTTGCTTATAGCAGCAGTACAACTTTTTTCCTCAACTGGAAACTTGTAGACCACGCACACTCTTCCCAGGCCTAGGGTGGGGTTGTTGGGCCTGGGAAGGCCGGCTGCCCCTGGTGCCTGAGCAGAGGCTGCAGGAGAGGAAGTGGGGACTGACGCCCCCTGCAGACTGTACCTGAGCCCAGCACTGTGTGCAGGGTGGAGGCCAGTGTGAGTGCCTGCCAGGAGCAGCTCGTATGGGTGGGTGCCGATGCGGAGGGCTGCGCAGGAGAGAGACGTAGGGGTAGCGAGCGCCCCGGGAGACGCGTTTGCCTGCTCCATGGGTTTCTTTGCAAAAGTAATTGGCAGCTGTTTCCAATACCAAAATCCATTCTAATACTGATAAACATCGCCACGCTACAGATTCAAAGGAATAGCAAGAATACCACTTTAAAGTTCAGTTAACGTGTGTGTGTGTGTGTGTGTGTGTGTGTGCGTGTAATATATATTAGGACTATTTTCCAGATACATCCTGTGCTGCTGAAAGGTAATTTATAACTGAAGACAAACCAAGCAGTGCTCTTTTTGAGACTCTGACTTTGATCACTACTAGCCTTGGGGGTGACGGAAGGTAAGGAACGTGAACCGAGCACTCTTCACTCATCGCTACGGGCAGCACTTAGAGATACAAGTACCCAACCCAGTAGACCAAGTTGAAGAGTAGAAACGACGTGGGGAAGAAGACGCGCGAGTAGGAGTCCAGCTCTGAGATGTCTATGTGGATCCGCCCTTTCCGCCAGGACCCCGATCTGCACTCCTCATAGCAGCAGAAGAAGCTCTGGCAGTCCTTGCCGTCCAGGCACTCGTACACACAGGTGTCCTCCAACTCTTGCCAGTACACAGAATTGTTTAACGAGATCACTGCAGGTGGCGGCGGCCTCATGTCAAGGAGAGAGTAGTTCTGCAGCAACGAGAGTAGCACAGAGCCCATCAGGAAACGCTCAGAAAGCAGCCCGAGGTGCGGGGAGCGACGGGCACCTATTTCATCTGCTGTGCGGGAGGGGGTGGGCCAACGTTTTCTACTGGCCTGTAACAGCCATGTACGTATCGTGTATTTGTTCTTAAATGTGAAGTGGTACTTGTATTAAGTTGTGGAATAATAAATGTGATATTTTTATTTAATATGTAGGATGAATACAGTATATAGGAATGAAGAAGGAACGTTCTGATTCACAGAGTTCAGGTAAAAAGATAGCTTTCAAGAAAAGTGACAGCCATGTGTGTGATTGGAATGTTTGCTTTCTGCCTTCCTCAACTGTCCTGACATGGAAAACTAGGGTGCAGCTTCCAAAAGCCTATTTGCCTGCCTGCTTTAGTTTCATTTGTGCTGATTGAACTGGGACAGGTGGACCTGCGCAAACCTGGCCTCCAGCATCCGCAGAGAGGTGGACGCAGATGGTCACTTCAGCGGTGACCTGTGGGGCTGTTCCTTTGCCTGGCCTGGCACAGTGCTGGGACAGAGGCTGTCCAGTGAGGAAGCCTGCTTTGCCTCGACCACTATTACAGGGAACATGAATGCGCCCACTTTGCCTTCTCTTTGTGGATCTAATTTGACTACCGTTCACAGTCATGGCTGTGTGGTCTGGCCAATCGGGGTGGGGAGGCAGAACATCCGGCACCCAAAGCCACTCCTAGCCCTACGGGGCAACCTTGTATGGGGAAAGGCGCACGTGGTCTGACCTAAGCAAGATGCTGCTGGCCAGTTGCCTCTTCCTCGTGAGTGTGCAGCCCATCCGCGAGAGGAAGGGTGTCACCACATCTGTCGCCTTACCCCCACTGGTCCTGGGAAAGAGCAGAGGTGGAGCCCTGTGGTCCCTGCAACCCTAAGAAGCATCAGCTCCTCTGCATCAATGGTCCTTTAAAGCAAGGGGTGCGAAGTTACCAGGAGGGCTGCTGATGTGGTGATCTCTGCCTTCACAAAGTGGGACAAGCTTGCATTGGTTCAAAAAGCACGTGCTCTTGGGGCCAGGGAGATGGCTCAGTAGAATAAGCGCTTCCCTGGCAAGCAGAAGGTCTGAGTTCAATCCCCAGTTCTGCCAAAAAAAAAAAAAAAAAAAAAAGCACCCAGAGGCTACCCAGCCCCATCTTCTGTCCTGGGAGCCAGCAGCCCTGACTGCACTTGTGTGGAGTGAACTGTGGCCAGGGCAGCCCCAAGACTGAGCCCAGGGTCCTGCAGGATGGGGGCGGATGTCCCAGGACCTGACGGGAGACTTCAGGAGCTGCAGGCAAAACCACAGCAAGGTTCCTGGAGGCAAGAGCAAGCTCTCTTCCACATCTAGGGAATTAAACAGCCAGTAAAACACAAGTTTTAAGAGCTTAGTGGCTTGGAATGAAATGAATTCCATCTTATGGGATTGAAAAAAGTTAGGACAGGAACTGAAATAGCTCTACAGCTATACTTTGTGTTGTTGAAGTACTTTTTATAGGATTCTCTGCCATTTTCATTAATATTTCAAACTATGTGGAAGATAGAGATTTTAGTGACTGCTTCCCCCAAATCTTCTTTGGCCCAGTGGGTCCCTGATGCCCTCTCCCTCACCCATGTGTGTTTGGTCCTTTAGTTTTGCATTAGCAGGCAGGCGAGGCGCCAAGCCAAGAGTTGTGGCGCACCTTGCCCGGGCCACCCGTGAGGTGGGGCTGGCTCTGTCTGTCCGCCCTCTCTTCGGAAGCTGCTCATTTCTGCTTTTTTGTTGCTGTTGTTGGTAATGAAATAGAGCAAGCACTGAAAGGGTGGGGGCTCTTACCCCTCAGCTTGAAGGCTTCCTTCCACTCTGGGCTGCATCACGGTCAGCCTCTGGCTGAACATCTCTATGTCTTCTCTCCTGGCCTGTCACCTTTTGTCTGTGAATTGCTTTTCTTTGAACTGTCTTCAAGATCATTAAAACTACTTTCATTTTTTGCTAGGCTTACAGAAATCCTGCCTCCGTGTTGGAAGACATTTTCCTTTCCTTTGGCGATATCATTTCTACAACTCCAGGCTCCCTGGCTGTAGAGCAAAAGCGCTCCTGGCCTCAGTCTACCGGCTCCAGCTCCTGCTCCTCCTCCAGCAGCTCCTGCTGCCTGACCCCTTCTGATGCTATCTGGACACATTTGCTAGCTTCTCACAGCTGTCAAACTGGCTACCTACAACCTTCTGTCAGGTACCCTGCTACATGCTTGCAGTGGACAGCTACAGAGTCAGCTTAGGAAACAGCAGAAATGTGTGAAGTATGACCCCACTTAACCATCAGAGGACCATTTGTGATGCAGGGCAGGCATAAATATTCTGCATAATTAGTGACTTGTTTGGTATAAGGGAACAAAACCTATAATTACAAATGGAACTTGTTACACATGATAGAAGGGATAGTCCTACCTGTGGTTTAAAGATATATTCCTTAATTTTTCTTTAAATCTACATTCTCCCTTCAAACTGGAAATCCTGGGTATTGGGAACATGCCATGAATTGATAATACACTTAGACGTACTGTGGAGAGGGCAGGCGCAGTTACGTCACTGTGAGGAGGAGGGCGGGCCTTCCCCAGCGGGAAATTAGAGGCAGCGGCCACAAGCAGAGGACGCCGAAACTTAAGGCAAGGTGTGTAGAAAAGACCAAAGAAAGGACAATGACAATATTGCATATGACACGGGATATAAACCACAATAAATTAATATCCCCAATATATCCCACGTATGACTATATAAATTATAGGTGTTCTGTAAAATATAAAATGATCAATAACATGAATAACTGATACATTACTACTTTCAAATACAAATAAAACTTTAAAAACACTAGAAAGCAGTTCATAAAACAAATATAATCAGAAATAAACAAGTGAAAGTATTAAACTTTATCAATAACCAAATGCAGCAAGAAAAGTCACAGGTACGTGGTCTGCGTGGTCCCTGAACCCAAGGCTGCGAGCTCGCAGCCCTCAGAGTGGCTGCACAGTCCTGGGGTGGTGTGGCAGGTAGCCATGGGCAAGGACCATGCAGTCTTGGGAGGGCATGGTGGACCACCACGGGCAAGGACCACGCAGCCCCACTAGCCCACTCACTCTGATTCTATGGGTTTATGACTAAGCAAAAGGCACGGATATATGCCAAGTGGCTGTGGTAAAAATGTGTACATCAGTGAAATTTGTGGATAAGCCAGAATCCAGCTGTCACAGCCTGTGCATCTACTATGAGCGTGGAAGTCAGTCATTAAAGTTGGGCCAGCCAAATGGCTCAGTGGATTAAAGTGCCTGCAAGCAGGCCAGGGGCCGGGGTTTTGATCCCTGGGCCTGCCGTGCTGGCCCCACCCCCAGGTCGCACTGAGAAGGCAATTGAGACTGGGCGTGGTGGCACAGGCCTGTAATCCCAGCTCTTGGGAGGCTGTAAACAGGTGGATCACTTTAAGTCTGAACACCCTGTAGATACTTCCCTGAAAATACAAACAAAAAAAACCCCCAAGAAACAAACATTAAAATGACCCTAGAAAATATTTATGACACAGAAACTTAAGGACATTTTTTTTTAGTTATCAAAGAAGCTAGAGGAAAAAAAATACATAGATTACAATTTAGTTTTTTTCCCCAGTGTATGCATATATATTATTTGAATGCCTAGAAAAAAGAAATATATATGTACACTAATCCCTGCATAGAAAGAATATGAGTAATTTTCTCTTCTATTTTGCTAATGTCCCAAGTTGGATTTTCTTGGAGTAGTAGGGAACACATTTTTGAAGGGACTTCACACATTCCACAACAGGAACATATCTTTCAAGTGCAGCTTTAATTTAAGAGACGTTCTCAGAAACTTTGGAAGTGCAGGGCTCTACGTACCGAGGGGTTCTGAAGGCTTATGCGCTCATGAATCCATCTCGAGGACTCTGGATGCAACAGCTGAAGGAAAAGAAAAAGCATTAGGGAGCTGCTGTGGGCGCCTGTGCCCAGTCACTCCAGCTGCAGGCTCCTACGCCAGCCCATAGCACAGGCTGGGACCAGAGACACGGGGGAGGTGCTGCAGGAGTCTCCAGGACCCTTGCCAGACTGAGTCTTGTTGAGTCACTTATAATGTGCACTGCGAGATATTCAGGGAAAAATCACATTTAAACCCGCATTTATTTTAGACTAACCCCCAACTACCTTCCAGGCAGCCTTTGCTGTCTCTGGCACTCACCGACGATTTCTTCTTGGTGGTGGCTGGTTTTCTGCAGCTGGAGTAGTAGTTGAGGGTGGCGTACTCCATCAGTGCCGCAAAGACGAACAGGAAGCACACGGTCACGAAGAGGTCCATGGCGGTCACGTAGGACACTCGCGGCAGGGAGTTCCTGGCGATGGTGCTGAGGGTGGTCATGGTGAGCACCGTGGTGATGCCTGCACAGGGGACAGCCACGTGTGACGAGGACCGCGGAGTGCTGACGACGCCCGCCCAACACCGTGCTTTCATGGGACTCCTTATTGGCGAGTCCTTATGTGACTCACAGTTGTTTTTAAATTTATTTTAACTTAATTTTTGTTTTATTGAGACAGGGTCTTTCTGTTTAGTCCAGGCTGGCTGGAACATCCTGTCTCAGCTTCCTGAGTGCTGGGATTACAGAGACATGGGGGACGAAGCCACCAGCCTGGAAGTTACTTTCAATTTTAATGTCTATACAATTTGTAAGCGAGGCTTCAATACAATTTCTTACAATAGTCTTTGCAATGACACTAAAGTACTGACATTCCCTGACCAGTTCAGTTCAAGATTTTTCTTCTTTAATGATGTGAAATCAGTATGTGTTTAGTGGAAACTGCACTTTGAATTTTGAGTTTGGTGTTTCTCTGGGTCAGTGATTCTCCCTCGACCCTGGATGACGGCCACCAGCCCCAGCTCCCGCCGGCCCTGTGACCACCACTAGGAACCAAAGGACCCTCTCTAAGGCGTCAAGCTGGGAGGCTGAGCTCAGCAGGGCAGGGGTGTGAGGGGGATTTGATTTAAGACATCTCCAACTTAACGCCAGCTTGCGAAGACCTGCGTCCACCATGGCTTAGGGTGCAGCTCTACCTAACGGCCCCTTTTTAATTTATTTAGTGATTCACTTATTGTTCATCGTTTTGTCTTGTAAATATTTGTGACATGAAGACGTGCTGGCGGCCCTCTCGTCTGCTGTGGGCCGTCCCCATCTCAGGCCCTTCTTCCCCTCCTCCCCCGCCCTCCGGGGCTCTGGTCCTAGCTGCAGCTCTGCTGGGTGGCCCTCCTGACAGCATCACAGCCAGCACTGGCCGCCTGAGCCGCTCCGTCTGTGCCACCCCCATGACTTCTGGGCCTCTCCCTGCTCTTTGCACCGTGACAGTCTACAGCCTGTCTGCATGTTTGTCTCCCTGAATAGATAGTGTGGTCTTTAAAAGCAAGACTAGATCTTGCAGATCGTGCGGCTTTCAGAGCAAAGCTAGACCTTGCCAGTGTTGCCTGTCACCCAGCACCGCAGTGGGCCCGCCTCAGGCATTAAGTGAATAGTTTCGCTTTGAATGACAGCTGGTAATCAGTTTAGCCGTGGTGCTACTGGTAGCCGATACTGATCTGGTTCTGACCGTGTCAGATTGGACAACACTGACTGTGACTAGTTTAGAAAAAAGAATGAGAAAAATTGTGGGGAATAAGGAAGAACGAAATGAAGACGCGCGATCAGCACGAGACAGGCCATCTCTTCCCTGGGTAGATGCCCTGGGAGACCCGACAGGCTAGAACCCCTGGACCTGCGAGGTGAGGTGGCGTCTGAGTGTCACCGCTCCAGCACGGGGCAGTCAGAGGTCAGGTCCACACGACAGCGAGTCACACTGTCCCCGCCTTGGCTGGAGCACCACTGCCCACCGCTTCCTCCCTGCACCTGCCCACCGTGCTCTGCCGGGGCCTGATGGACAACGAAGGAGCTGCGGGTGGAGAGTGCGCCCGGCGAGGGTAGGCGATCTCGGGGAAGCCCAGGCCCCGCCTCCCCCTCCGGGCCTTCTCGGCCTTTGCCCCCTTGGGCTCAGTTCTTACAGTCACGGCCAGGCCTGTCTTCTAACACACGGGTATGTTCTGGTCTTAAACTGGAAAGTTTCAGACTGATGCAAGGAATCTGTTTATAAGAAGAGCCCTTGAGGTAAGCGTCCCATTTAACGTGAGCATGGATTGAACGCCGCACGCAGGCCAGCAGGGCTGGAAGCTGGGCGTCTGTCTGGAGTTGCCCGCGTCTGCACCCTCCAGAGCCTTTCTGGTCAGCCTGCGCGCGCGGCTCGCCTGCGTCCCTCCTATCTTGCCCTAACGCACACCTACAAGCGATACGGTGCTGAGAAGGTAACTGGTGGACAGTTCCTGGTCAGTGCAGCGCAGGCGCGGCGCTCCCAGGACCCTTGGCGCCCCGGCTGTGTCTCGCTGGGGGGTCCGCGGGGGCGTGGGGCGGGCGGGGAATTGAGGCAGGAACTCCCTGAGTCTGCGCGGACCGCGCTGCGCCGCCAGCCCTGCGCACTTAGCTTCTCGGACGCCGGAAGTCGTGTCTTCTGGCAAACGTGGGGCACGCTGAGCCCTTAGGTCTCCGCGCGGCTTTGGGACCTCGCCCTGCTCTTTCTGGACTCTCGCGACAGCGTCAGATGGTGGCTGACCATCTCACGGTTATCAACTCAGTTTTTAGTATTTTTTCAGCCAATTCTTTGTTGCTCAGATTGAGCACTTTTTCCTGATCTGTGTTTAACTTTGCTGGTGATTTTCTGGTTGTCTCCACTCTATTCTTCTACACTGCCGAGGACTCAGCAAGGTTTTCCTTTTTCTTGGATACTTTACTTTTGAGTTCTAAAAATCCACAGTTGGTTCTTTATATCTTCTATCTCTTTGCTGTGAATTTTTTATTTTTTCCTTTTGGTATAAGTATGTCTGTAATCACTCAATGAAGAATTATTATTATTTTTTTGGTAGGCTTAGCCTGCCCTGGCGTCAGGGCTGGCGCGGCATGCGGTGCCGGGATGCAACTGCGGTCCCTGCGCGCTTGCCTAAGCTTGCCTAAGCCGGCGTTAGCCCGCCGCGCCACCTCGCGGGCCGCACTCACTGAAGAATGTTTACGCCGCTGCTCTGAAATCTGACTCGCTAATTCCAGCATTGGTGCCATCTGAATGTTGGCATTTTTTTCTTGTATGCTGAATAACACTTGTTGTATCTTGGATATTCTGGGCATTATTTATGGGACTAAAAATTATTATAAAGCAACAATTTTACAGTAGCTCTATGTACTCAATGTATATTTAAACCAGAACATATTATTGCAAAAAATGCATACATAAGATTAAAACTTTTATACACCATATTTTTTTTTTTACAAAATGTAAGGTGAAGCTATACACTGGAGGAGAAATCACTGTTGTATGTAACCAATAAATCTTCATGATGTTGCATATATGTTCAGTAACACGCAACACTTATTTATTCACGTAAATTTTTACATCATATATAATTTCATTTTCACCCTCAAACGTGTGTTTCTGGTCTCAGAAGTCTTTAACCCAATAGTAAAAGTTCTCAGTTTTTCTTCTAGCAATCTCACAGCTTTAGCCTTATCACCTTAGCCTTTGATCTATGTAAAATTATTATTTTGTGTGCATGGAGGTAGGTAGCTGAAATGAGTTCGTGTAATGAATTTTTAGGGGTGGGTTCCATAATGCCAAAGACGGGCATGGACAACATTGTCCATGTCCTCCATCGGCCTGCTGACACTTGCCTGTGGGCACTATGACGTTCTGGGACTGCTGCGGACACCTGGAACTGCAAGTGGCACTGGGTGCACCCACACACCATGCATTCTCCTGGTTTACATATCCACAAATGTCTCTGGGAGGTGAGAAAGCTGTGGCTAATGCTGCTGCTGCTGCTGCGTGCCACCCGGCGGGGAGGCAGTCACAGTCCAGGCTGTCCTGGCTGACCTAATGCACTGTGCCTGCCACTCTGGACCTCTGGCTCTTCCCAAAGACAAAGCGGCTGTGAGGGTGAATGCCTGCAGTCAGTTCAGGAATCAAGGGTGCCGGACAGCACACTTCCAGACGTTTTTGAAAACTGCCTCGCAGCACTGCTTCAGGAAACAGCAGGAAAGATGGGACAGGCATGTTCAACGTGAAGGGGGGTATTTTTAGGGGCTTAATGGTAATGTATACTGCAAAAAATTAAACATTCACCATATTTTATGACCACACTTCATACAACGAACCCTGCTTTATAAATTAGCACAACAATGCACGTGCTGAGTCCTGCAGCCGTTCAGTCTCAGAGCATCTGCTGTGCAGGGCTCTGCCTGCCCTGCTTCGATGGTGTGAGGTGGCGCTTCCTGGCAAGAAGGAAGCTGGGGGGGGGCGTGGCCCGAGCAGCGTGAGCGTGGCACGCGGTTCTCCTCACTCAGACAACAGCACTAGCCTTTTCACGTTGAGGAAGCCCGTCTGGCTTCCCTTGCACACCCCGCTGGCCAGCACCGCCACCTTCACGAGCTAGGGCTCCTGTTAGGTACCCAAGGGTTCCCTGGACACCAGCACTGCAGTGTGGCGACAGCCGACCTGCTCCCGGTGACGCTGCCCTGACCAGTGGGCAAGCACACTCAAAGCAGGCGTATGGGGAACAAAGGGGTGGCTCGCATCCCGGGTGGGGGACAAAGTGGGGTAGGGTCATCACGCTCCTCAGAATGGGCTGGAAACTAAGCCTCACCACCATCGCCGAGGGCAGCACCTGGGGTCCACCGTCACTGAGGCTAGCACATGGGGTCACGACATGCTTCGCAGTGCCCCAACACCCCGAGATGCGCAGGATGCATTTTCTCTCAAGGCTAAGAGAGGGTTCCCTCCAAGGAGCACTGACGGCTCTGCTTCATTGTCTAAGAGGAGGCCTCACCTCGGTCTGGGGTCTGGCCTGGATTTGAGCGTTTCTAGTGGCTGGGATGGCGGCCTCTGAAGTTCTCTCTCCCTCCCTCCTGCAAGTCCCTCCGGGTGTGTGTGTGTGTGTGTGTGTGTGTGTGTGTGTGTGTGTGATTTCAGATTTCTTTGCACCACTGAGCTAAATTCCTGGTCCAATGATCTTTGTTTACAAAGAGTTTCCTCTCGCCTTCCTCAACCTGAATCTCAGTTAGTGACTCTCAGTTCACGGACTACGCGCCTCTTTCTGACATCTTTTCTCTATACTTTCTCTGTTGCGATAATTCATCTCTTCATTCATTAAGATTATATTTTTCTTTAAAGTCATGCACACTGCTATAAAATTGTTTTAAAAGTTTTATGTCAGCTGATATAATGTCGAAGTTGTCTTTTTCTGTTACCTTCTTATCATGGGGGCTATCCTTCTGCTTTTCATCATATGCTTACTACTGTTAAGAAGTCTGGACTACGTTACATTTTAAACATCACAGCAGTTGCTTTCCTATGACGGCTATTTACTAGTTGTGGTGTTGACCTTTCGTGACTTGGTTCGAGCTCTACTTAAAGGCATTGTAAAGTGCCCCTTTATTTCTAGGCATAGCGTCTCATTAAATATGATTGTCTTAATGACGTTGCGCTACCCTTCTGGGAATGTCACCTGACAGCATGACGTAATTCATCGTATCCGTCTGCTTGTCTCCCAATCAGTAGTGCAAACAGAGCTACACATGATATTGTATTGAGCTGAACTTTTAAATTCTTCTTATAATGACATCTACTCTTACAGAATTTACTCAATTTGTGGTAATATCTTTACTTGGTGATTTACGGATCCTGTCACATATTTTCTATAATGGTGCAAAGGAATACTGGCAGAGTACATTTAGGGCTGACTAATCTCAAGCAAATGTGATTTAAAAAAAATCACACACAGGAAAAGCACAGTGTACATGAGGGACCTCACAAGAGCTCAGAACCGAGACAGGGCCTTCTTCCCTAAAGAAAGTATTTTGAGGAAAACAACCTCTCTATTCAGTCTGATATCATTACTCGGGCTGCAAAACATTTGAAGTAAGGCAAAATTCCTACTAAAAACTAAAATAAGTTTCTGAATAATTGTAAAACTGCTGCAATGAAGAGTTGTGTGAGGAGGAACTGGAGGCAGCGCCTGAAAAGGCTGAGGAAGACGCGCAGGTTATTTCCTGTTTGCCGCCAAAGTTACAACACCCAGCTGGGAGCCTGTCTTGAGAGAGAAGGTTCCACACAGATCACGGCTTTTGTGTGCAGGGGCCTGTGGCAGGGTCTGTCTCCTTACAGTCACGTAATCAGCCTCACGAGGTGGCGGGTTCTAAGCCACACCAACACTGTTCTGATCACAGCGACCTCAGAGCTTAGTATCAGCGAAGGCAATGGAGTCCCTGTGGTTCGCTAAGTCACCCTAATTTACGCAGCACACATGGAGTCGCGCTGTCAGAACGAGCAACCTCATTCGGACACTTAGAACAACGAGAGCATGGCTGAGGCAGCTCTCAGGTTAGGCCGCTTGCCTCTGTCTCCTTAATCGAAGGCATTTTTATGAATTCTTTTGCATTAAAATGGCACAAAATAATGGAAGACTTGTTTTGAAACTTACCTAACGCCGTTCTTGCTGGTGTAGCATCTTTTTTGATCCAAAATGACACCCACGATAAAACCACGGTGAGTATGCAGGGGATGTAGGTCTGGATGGTGAAGTAGCCCATCCTTCTGCTTAACTCAAAGTAGATGGTCATGACAACATAGTCACCTGTGGCAAAGCATCGCCAAAATTCAGTCAGTTTTCACGGGTTAGAAACGGGTCAGGGGAGTAGCTTATAACTTATTTTGCAAAGTGAATGACTTAAAAATGTACAACTACAGCCATATCAAGTAAAAAACATGATTAAAGTGGTGGTGTACTTCAGTGGAACTTCTAGAGTATCCCTGGTTTTGCAAAGCCATTTATTACCCCGTAAAGGCCCCAGAAACAAAGATTAGGAGACAGACTGATAGACACGCGTGTCTGTTCCCTGTCAGGCTGACTTGAGAAGCTGCAGTCCGGAGAGTCCGAAAGTCCTCCGTGCGCTGCATGCCTGAAGTCCAGGTGACGGCTGTACCCAACCCTCACGGGTCCGAAGCCACAGGATGGATTTTTCCAGTATTAGCAGTTACCGCATCATAGGCAAATTTGTGCAATGATTTTATATTTTTATTTTATCATATCAGAAATTTCAGCTTATTAACTTTGCACTTCACATTTTATTTAGTATTTTTTTACTTATCTTTTTATAAGTCCAGCATTTAGGCTGCCCCAATTCAGAAATAAAAAGAGGACATTATTTCATAGAATTCTCTTCCCTCCGATTAGAGCAAAGCCATGCTGCACAGGACTTAGAAGCGGCGTAGACACTGCTAGAGATGTCACAATTTTCCTGGGGACTTGAAGCTGGTACACGCTTAATGGACTGCACATTTCATTTTAAAATAGTCAGCTATTGTTCAGGCTTCTTTCTGCTGAGGTTTCTGTCTTTCATCTTCCTCGCTTGGACCCTCTAGCTTCTAGACAACAGGCTCGGCCCTCCAGCACCTGGAGCCCATCACATCGCCCTGCACTGTCCCCTTCCACCTGTGCACACCCGCTTTCACTCAGGTCTTCTTCTTACTTGATCAGCTGGAGCCACCAGGAGTCACAGTTGATGCCTCCTTTTCTTCGTGATTCTCCCTGCTCCACTGCCCTCAAATCCTCCTCCCTCCTCTTGCAAGGCACTGTACCCTGTCAGGGGCCCAGCTGACCTGTCAGCAACGGTCTGCCTCTGTCTCCGCCCGTTCTAGGTCCTGCTCTGAGAGGATCCTTACTAAATGCTGCGTCTCCTCCTCTCCTGCTCTTTGCACTCCACCAACATCTTAGTGTCTGTACAGCGGTCACGCTTTGCCCACAGTCCACACCGTTCTGCCCTAAATGCTTTCTACACTGCTAGCATTTAGCCAGCCCAGTCCTCAGACGGGCTGAGGTCCTTCCGCTAGACCTCTAAATCTCTCTCCTTCTGTCGATAGTGTTCTTTTTCCCCTAATCCTTGCATTTAAGTAGCTCCAACTTACATGTCTTTAACATCAATGTACAAATCCTCTAGTTCTCCCAGCGTCTCCCCTGAATCCATTCCCAGCAGTTGCAGTGCACATCACAGTAAGGCTTTATATCTGTCCTCGAGTGGAGAGCCGTTTGGTCTATAGCCAGCACCCTTGTGCTGTCAGCTCACCACAAGCACTGCTCAGCACTTGCCCAGTGAAAACAACGTCACCGCAGTCCCAGTTTTGTTTAGAAAGTCAATAGGACTAACTCAGCCCCCATGACAATAGTGATTTTAAATAAATTAGAAATGCTTTGCTGGATGTTTTGTTTTGTTGTAGCAATATTTAGGGTTGTTGATAGGAACATTAATTTTTGAGACCATTTTCCAATAAAGATGAAATTTTTAAGCAAATTAGCATTTCAGTACAAAGGAATCAGGATGATTACCCTAAAGCAATAAAAGACCACAAAAATATTTTTCTAAATAAAATGAATGCCGTAGATAAATCATTTCCTGGAGAAATGTTATTAAATTATATTATTTAAAAATCCCTTCTAATTTTTCACAAAAGTATAGTCTACATTGTAGGACAAGAAAACCAAGCACAAAATAAAATGTAATAAATCACCCTAAGAGTAATGGACACAACGCAAATAGAATATTCAAAGACTGAAATAGTTTCTGCAGTTAGCACCATTGTAAGTACCTGTGAGTAACAGACGGACAGTTATGAGGCAGACACACAGCCGGCTCCCCAAGTCCATCTGCCTTCCCCCTACCGAGGCAAGGGCTGCCTCACACCTGTGATCAGCACACTCCTTTGCTTGACTCAGGGATCTGTCTGGACCCTGGAGCTGAGCACCCCGTCAGCTCAGAGGAAGGTGGCAGCAGCCACCACAGCTGTCACAGTGCGCATGCAGGGGGACACATGCATGACCTGACCATGGTGGAGAAGGGGTAGGCACCAAAGTCCCCGCTCACAAATGGAGGCGTGTGCAAAGCTATTGGTGATGGGCGCAGGCTACAACATGACCCTTGACTCCTGCAGATATTTTCAGAGGAAGGGTGAAGCCCAAAAAGCAATTTTAAATCCTAAATACTTGTTTTATTTATTTAATTAGGCATAGACCCATCTTCAAAAATTTCTTTTTAGTATTGGATATATTAATAATTTATTATAGGTCAAGGGTGGTTGTGAAGAGAGATTGTAAAAGTTGTTTGAAACACTGCAGTAGAATAATTAGGACTTTCTTTTCTTTTTCTCTTACTCTTCTTCTCTTCTATCTTTTTTCATTCCTTAATTCATAAATCCCTTACCTGGTAGATAACACCACCAAGAAGAGATGGCCATACATTTTCTGTCTTTGGTTGCAAGCTCTCCACATTTGATGGACTCTGACAGGGTCAATTTCAGACAAGTCAGAGTCAGATGAAGCCAGTGCTGTAGGGCAGCATAACTGCTTCAGGCTGGATGACTGGCCATTATTGGGAAAGTGACCTTCAGCTTGCAAAAGCTGTGAGATACAATAAAACCATAGGACATGGCTGACTTAAAGACATTGTTCTTTACTTCACTAAGTTTTATGCTTGGAAAAACATTATTTTAATAAATGAATGGAGAGAATAAATTAGTATTGGAGAAGGATGGTGATGATTGATACTGTCTTTTTCTAAAAATGCTTACCAGCTGCTGAGATTTTATCTCCCATTTTACCTATTTATATCCTTTTCCCTTTAGCCTGATGGATTCCACCTTTGGGTCATGATCAGAAAATAACTAATATCTAAGCAAATTTTTAGTTTTAAAATTCTAAGTTCCTGTTTTAAAATCTTCCACAAAAAATTATCTTATTTTTGAAAATCTAATACTGCTTAAGGGGGCATTCTTTCTAGAAAACTAAGAGAAAACGTTGATTGAATATGCAAATATATTTTAATTCTGCTGCTTTAGAGACATTTCCATTGGAATTTACCATCCCCTGGTGGTGGAAAGAGTGGGATCCCGAAGACAGATTCCCAAAACAATGGGCTTGCCCCAGAACTACCTCCTCCTGCAGAACTGACCTGGGTGCTCCAATTCAGAGCCTTTGTTTACTCCATGGCATGAAAGTCTGCCAAGTTCTAATTAGCAGACAACATTCAGCAGCACTGAGCACAGAAACGGCCCCTGTCGTTCCTGTCCTGTCCTTTAGGTTGTCACTTGATGTCCTTTTACTTTGCTTATGGCACCCATGCATGACAATTAATTTTACAGAAATGAATTTGTCAGTTGGTGTGATCCCTGGACCTCTGTGCCCTTGGCCCCGATCCTCAAGTCTCCTTACATGTTGTGCTCCCTTGGCCCACTTGTCCTGCTATGCAACTAATTCTCTAAATCAAATTTTAAACATTTTATGATTGGCAGTCACAACAAAAGCTCTGCCATCAGCAGTCACCTGTAAGGCAATGACTTTTATTCGTGAGCTCAATATTTGTAGGGATGTATTTGTACTCTCTGATTCCTACACAGTCACCACATGATCTGAACTGCTGTGTGCATGGGAGATGCACATGGAGTGCACCCCAAGTGGCTCCATGCTCCTATGACTCCATCTTCCTGCCATGCACAGACGCCGCGACCTTCATCTTAACCAAGAAAACATGACCTGATCCTCCCTTTATTACATTACTGTACACGGAGAAGGCTATGTGTATTTTGCAAGTGTAATTATCATACTCAATCTACTGATTTTCAAATTAGTACAAAGGCGGCATACCCTGGTGGATCTGACCGAGTCTGAGAGCACTTTGATGAATGGCTTGACCTTTGCTGAGACAAATATACAGCATCCTGAAGAAACCAGCCACCGTCAGTGCTTTGGCTGCAAAGGATGTTGGATTCTGACTCCGACCTGAGGCTGCAATAGATTCCCAGGCAGGCCTCCCAGATGATAGTGCAGTCCGGCCACTTTCACTCTCAGTGTTGGGACAGCCCGAACAAAAGACCTCCCGAGCCGCCCCGGCACACAGCAACTGCAGGACCGCAGCCGTCCGGCTCTGTGCCAGTACGCTTGCTGTGGTTTGTTACTGGTAAGTGGGAAACAGATGCGAGAGCAACGATGCCTTGCAGAAGAACAGCGCTCAGTGCTCTCTGCGGCCAGCCTTGGTGGGTCTTGCTTCTCTGCTCCCACGTAAAGCACAGGACCAGCACACAAGTCCCTCAACAGACACGAGGAGTGCATTTATTGGAAGATGCTGGGACTGTCCTGCTACAGTGTTGTATGTGGTCAGATTTCTAAACTTCTGTGTAAAAATTTGTAATTGTCTGTTTCTATTTTTTTACTATTTTTTCACATTCTGTGGGGATTTAAATTTTTGCATATTAGCGATTGATGGAAAATACCTGTTCCATGTTATGTCTAAGACGTTTGATATTCAGACAGATACTGATGTAAGCTCAACAGTTTATGTTTTAGGGTAATAATATCATTAAGCTTCTCTTCTGGAGGGTTAACAACTTAAGTTTGCACACCAAAAAATTGAGAAAAAGAAGGGCTACAAGGACAGTCAACATTGTGGCTCTAGCCTTCAAGGTCAGTGAGAACTGAAGACATACGGGAACCTGTACTGTAATATCCTGTAACTCAGTGGTGTCCCAGATTTTCTGATCAAGATTTTGGGGCCCCAGAGGAAAGTGATCGATGATGTAGAGTGTGCC